ATTTCAATAAAGTTAGTCACCTGAAAAGCTACAAAGCTGAGACCGGCAAGGATTATGGGTAGATACATTTTACATATCTTAACCGCTTGATAACTGTTGATGGACTTGAGATCTTCTACCTGTAATGATTTCTGTTCCTTGGTGGTTGTGAAATATGGCTTTATTTTGAGTATATCAATTCGGGCTACAAATGTGTATCATACAGTCTGATAGATGGATATAGGGTTTCAGTCAATGCTATGGTATCATATGACATATAGCATGACACTACCAGTTACGAGTTCACCTCCTCTGAGCATCCTCAACTGCTGCAGTTTGTGTCAAAAACTTTACTTATTGAATATGAAATATTTCYCATGATTCTCAGCGATCACAGCTTTCTAGGTTTTTGGTGACTAACTTTATTGAAATGAGTATATATCGAAAGCTTGTTTTACACGTACTCTCAACAAATCTAGATAAAAGTTGAATCGAAAGGTACTCTAGTATAAGTAACACCTTGTTTTTTTAAGAAAAAGAAGGAATGCATTGATTGATTTTATAGTGGACTTTGGGCTCCCTGTGGAGACCCACTCCCCGCAAGGGGTTACTGGGAGATTTAGTCGTGCTCGATACGTTTTATGTACGTCAAACATGAAGTAAAGTTTACCATTTCACACGAAGTTTAGGTTTACTTTATTGGTGTCTACAATTTATTAGGAAGAGAACATGGCCTTAGTCTTGATAATTTACCATGACATGCTGATATTTATTTACAGCCAATGCAATACTCTAACTTGGTTAAGTATTGAGCACATGAGTTACTCATGCGCGGCAACTCCAACCTCGGCTTGGAACGTGATCAAACGGAACTGTAAAGTTTACAGTCCCGGCGTTCAGTGATCACGTTCCAAGCCGAGGTTGGAGTTGCCGCGCATAATAAAAAGTATACTTCATTAGTGGCCAATTTTTTGTTGCATACCGTAAGAGACCATGGTCTCTTGTTAGAAGCGGTGAATGAGGAGGCTGTCGATTGAACCAATCATGAAGCACGGCGGCTTAACGCCATCTTATTTGAGTTGGTTCTTCACCAATCAAAATGCAGACTTTCTTACAGGTAAATTGATACTTAATGACCTCAGTCTCAGCGAACTAAGAAAAAAGCGAACGTTTTCCGCCTAAATTACATTTTTGCTTAAGTAAAAAAGAAAGAAATGAAAATTAATCCCATGCTTTAAACAATATGATTGACTATAAACACTGTGCTCAACACTTCTAAAGCTTGTATAACGTCGTATAACAAGTTATATTGGCCATATATATATTTGAAATGTTCAAGCTAAAAACTAAGTTTGCCTTAAGCCATCAATCGTTTTCATTAAAATTTTGAAATATAAATATAAAAAAAGATTAATGAAATAAAGGGCGAATATATTTTTTGTAATATGTAGTGATTTCTAAATTTCATTCAAATATGAAATATTAAAACGTTTGAGAAAATTTTTTTTGATTTGTGTTTTTTGTCGAATGAGCAAAACTGCTTTTCATGAAAAGTATAAAGCCATAGTCAAGCCATCATAAATCAACCCGACGGATTACCAATATTTCTTAAGTATGGTGCTCCGCTCAGGTCCGCTATAAAGTTTATAGTATAGTACTGGCTTTCTAGGTAACAACCATCTCCTTCCCCCCCCCCCCCCCCCCCCCCCCCCCACACACACACACAAAATGGAATTAGGGCCTACTAATTAGCAATTAGTCCTCGAGCCCGAATGGACCGATTGACCAATAGGCCAAGAGGGCGTTAGGACTAATTGTTTTAGTCAAATCCAGCTAGTCGGTAAAAAAATTTATAGACACAAACGAGTTTTGAATTTAAGTTAAATTCAAGGTTTTAGTTTTCAAAGCCGGCACATCGCTACTGGTAGTGTATAATTTATAGTCAAGTAGTAGCTCATCCAACGCAGGATTAATGATTTGGATTTAACTAATGTTAATTAGTCTGTTTGATGGGTTTAGCGACTTCACTCTATGATTATCAAGTACAAATTCGGTAGTCTTTATTAAAGACGCTATTTTCGAAAACATAATGATTGTCTCAACGTTAACGTAGCTTAATTGCCAGATAGAGACGCATAAATAGCGTCTAYGCAATCATTTGAATCATTCAAGGGTAGTTACTACATGGTGCAACATCCTATTCTTAGAAAGACTTATCAACTGAAACTCATTCAGAAGAACGACCCGAGATGTATTCCAACACTGACAGAACAAGAAAGTTAAAAAACAGATCCCCATCCATGTTGGAGTTAACTGATTTCTTTGTTGAGAGAAACAGGAGGATCTTTTATGGCGAGGAAGGACATTCAAGGACGGACCGAGGGCAAGCAGTAGCCAGTACTCCAGTGTCAAATAGCAAGACAAACCGGATCTGGTCAAGCAGAAGTCGAGAATTTCTAGTGATGAATCAAAATGACTTTCATCATGAAGTTTTAGCTGGAGGTCGGGAAGAAAAGCAATGCTGCTGTCACCGTCACTGCCAAAGTGATGGYGTTTATGGATCCCCACCGAAAAAGAAGTCAATCGCAGAGACCAAGCAATCCGACGGGACTGTGAAGAAGTCTTCTGGGAAAACAGAAAATCAGTCTTCGAAGAAGATTAAAGGGAGAATGCAGAAAAMGTTAGAAGAACCAATACAACAAATTGGTAAAATGATGCCCTCGACAACGTTTGGGCAAGACCAGCCAGAAAATGGAACCTTGACTGGCAGGCCAAGAATGCCCTCGACAACGTTTGGGCAAGACCAGCCAGAAAATGGAACCTTGAATGGCAGGCCAAGAATGCCCTCGACAACGTTTGGGAAAGACCAACAAGAAAATGGAACCTTGACTGGCAGGCCAAGAATGCCCTCGGCAACGTTTGGGAAAGACCAACAAGAAAATGGAGCCTTGACTGGCAGACCAAGAATGCCCTCGGCAACGTTTGGGAAAAACCAGCCAGAAAATGGAACCCTGACTGGCAGGCCAAGAATGCCCTCGACAACGTTTGGGCAAGACCAGCCAGAAAATGGAACCCTGACTGGCAGG